AGTGTAGTTACGGAAAAATATTATTGGAGCAGTACATTTAAAGGTCAGGTCAGTTCTGGCATTTGGGTGCTCTTTTATTTCTCCAAGGCTGTAAGGACAGGCTAATTTTCCCTGAACTTCATCTTAAATCTTAGCCCTTCACGGTAAGTGAAGTGTTGCTGGGTATTAGGCTTAAGGAGTACCGGGGGTCTGACCGTTCCATGGAAAAGGAAGGCAAGGAGTGTCCGGTGAATCAGTAAGCAAAGACAAACCAGTGTGGTACAAGTGCTCTTTGATGAGATTGAAAACATTAAGATTAAAACATGTGAGGTGTTGTGTGGAGACTAAATGTACAGATGGAAGAGTAGAAATGTCGTGATTTACAAACAGCACCACAGCTGTAGGTATTGTGTGCGTGTGTATTTAAACATGCGCCCACTCACATATTGTTTACATAAAAATGTATAAAGAGAATGTAAGGGAACCAGACATTTAGCAGTTTAGAAGATAGCTGAACTCTGGTTACCTGTTGGGAAACTGCGGTGAAATGATGCAGCGAGGCAATGTCTTCCGACTTTGGACTTTCTGCTCTTCCTGAGCTCCACGGTGCTGTGTTGCCAGAGGTCCCAGCCAGCGTTTCAGAGCTGCTGAAAAACCTGTTCCTTGGGAATATGTCTAAGACTGCAAAGGTTCTTGCGCTGGTGTTCTCCGCATCTCTGCCGTTCTCTGCGTGCAGCAGTAACCTGAGGAGAGAAGTGGTTTCGTTTAACTCTATTCACACACCATCCCTGGAGGGGTTTAAGAAAAGCCTGGAGGTGGCACTCAGTGCCATGGTCTGGCTGACATGGGGGTGTTAGGGCAAAGGTTGGACTCGATGATCCCACAGGTCTCTTCCAGCCAAATCGGTTCTGTGATTCTCTCTGGATGAACAGAGGCCTGTCTGGGTGTGCTGTATTGGATTACAATAGCTGGATTATTACTTCTCTTCTGGCATGGGACTCTATCCAATAAATAAGCATTTGTGTGCTAAGTCACATACTGATTTGTTCCTTCACCGTATGTATAGGTAAGCTTTAGGTGATGCAAGGTGAACACAAATCCTTCTTGGATGGCACAGTAGCGATCAGGTAGATAGTTCTGCCCACGCTGGAGTTCAGCCCTTGGGGAAATCAGGGTCGCTTCTGCCACTGCCTTTCTCAGGCTGTCGTACAGTAGATGTGGCAGGTACCTAACCTGTGTCGATGCCTTTTCAATGGCATTTGTTTTGCAAGCAGCTTGAACTTTCTCATTGCTGCCAGACAGTATGAGGGCTGAGCCACACTCTCAAATCCTGGCAAATTTTAATCTTTTTCCTCAACTCTGTCCTCAAATACTCATCACTGTCCTACTTGCTCCTTTTCTTCTGCAATAAATTCTTCTTTGGCCAACATCACGTGGCTTCCAGGTATCATTTAGTTATCTCCATACAATTTGCTCTTTTCATAAGGAGCTGGAGGCCAGGACATCTCCCGTGCCTCAAATCATGAAAATACCAATCAATAAGGGATATTTCATGTGATCTCTCTTCAAATTTAAGGCTCTGTCCCACAGATTAAGGTTATGACAAACCATGTAATACTTATTGATGGCACACAAAGGCTTTCTCAATTCTTTTGAAGTTCTGCACTACAAAATGCCTTTAGCAATTTTGAAATTGTGAAAATCACAAGGTTCCCATGTTACTGCTTTCTATTTGTGTATCAGTCAACCTGAAGGTTTATGCCTCCGCGGAAGTGCTTGTGTGTGGTGTTGCCTAGATGTAATGAAACTTCTTCGTTCCTCTCACTTTAAAACCAGTATTTTCCTTGAAACTCAAATCTAGGATAAGATGACATAGGAGGGAAGGTCATTTCTCTGAAAAAATTGTTTCGTCCAACCCTTTATCCTGATGATATACATTGATGTAGTGCTGTGCAGATGTATTTTGCTTCATATCATTCACATAAAAACGTCTTGTCCCAGTTTCTCACCTTTAAACATCTTGAATTTGTAACTGAAGGGAAAGCTTTCTTCCCCCGACTAGGTTAGTAACTTCTGGGCCGATCTGACCCAGCTATTTGGGTACTGTATTACTGGAGGGGAAAGGATAAAAGTTACTGTTGATGGTGCCTTGACCCTTATCTTCTGTATAGTTAATTTTTGTTTTGTGCATCTTCTGAAAAGCAATGATATTCCAAAGAGACCCTGACCTTTCAGTAAATACAATTCATAATTTAGATTTAAAAATGTGTTTGCTTAAACTTTTGAGTGTCAGGGATTGTGAGAAGGGAGCCCTTCTGAGGAAGGAGTAAACCTTTTGTAGTTCATTGATTACAGCCTGCTGCACAGTATTCTTCATGGAGTGAGAATTTCTTCTTTACTCTGTGGTGTTTATATAGCAGCTATGGGATTGAAATGCCGTACGGTGTGTGTATATGTGCAAATACAGATGCTTTGTAACACAGAAAGCAAGACAGGTGGATGCAGCTAACACTCATGACGGACAAAAGTAATAGTAGTAGGGCTGTAAGAGGTCACAACAGTGTGGTACTTTACATGAAAAAGATGGGGTTTAGGAAAAGAATCGAGAGAGCTCCTTGCAAGCACAACTCAGTATTCTCACATGAACTCTTAACGTTCATGCAGCAGGGAATAATGTCGACAGCAGCGTTTGAGTTGTTCATTGTTATTGTGCTCCGTGTTCTGACACTTTGAGTACCAGTCGCCCCTGACTCCTTCTGTTTTTACTGTCATGAATTTAGACATTTCTGAGTGTAGACAAGCAGAAGACAAAAGGTCATTCTCTGTTTTGTTCCTGGTGCTCTTTCACAGTTCGCTTCACTTGGGAATAGTTCAAAAGAGACACTGTGCAGCCAAAGCCTCAGTGCACTGAGTTTCCCAAGTGTCCACCAGTTTACCAAGTGTCTCCGGGCATATAATGTAACTTTTTTGGTTGTAAAATGTGAGCCGTTACCAGCAGATGAGGATTGATTAGATGACTGAAAACATCATCTGGATAGGACATCAAAAGATCCTGCTCTTTAACACTGTGTGACTTTAAAGTCACTTGTCTTATCTAGGTAGTGAGTTCGATAGACAATTCCTTGTGTGAAGAGCTTTAAACCTCATGAGTAAAAAGCACTGTATAAACATCAACCACTGTTGCTGTTAGCGATAATTTCAGATGTTCACATTCTCCTCCCTTTTTTGTGGGCAATAGCACGCACTTTTAAGTTTCTGGAAGACTTAGGGTAATGTGATCGGTGCTGAATTCATGTGATCACTTGATCTTGGAGAAATTACAGGCTCTTCTGAAGTTGTATCCTTTTCTTCTCCGTGCAGCGTCCCATCATCTCGATCTGTTGGGGTCACAGGGATTCGCGCCTGCTGATGGCTTCTGGACCTGCATTATACGTGGTCAGAGTGGAGCACAGGGTCTCCAGTCTGCAGCTGCTGTGCCAGCAGAGCATCGCTAGCTGTCTGCGGGATGACAAGGATATCAGCAAACTGACCCTGCCCCCTCGGCTCTGCTCGTACCTCACCACTGCCTTTATACCAACAATCAAGGTAAAAGGAAAGAAATGTGTGTATGTGAGGAAGAGGAAGGGGTTGCTTGATTCCCCCCCCTGGTGCTTTTAAGTGACAATGGATAAATTATAAGATACTGTAATTATCATCATTATAATTTTAAAAGCTTTATGAAGGGTCATTCATGTCCTCTTCAAGAGCCCACTGATCCATTGGATGCCTATTAAAATGTGAACAGAAGGCCCACCCGTGCTGATCTGCATTATTGCATGGGGATGGCCTTTCCCAGGAGACATCCCATGGGTAAAACATGCTGGTAACTCACAAAGACTTCTGAAGACGCTCACGCTGATGACAGCACTGTGTCACAGTTATAGGAGAGATTCCGTGGTAAAACTGTTGCTTCCCTGCTTGTTGCAGGAGTCCTTATATTGCTGGGAAACTTAGACTGTAAGACTTGTGGCTGCCCAGATATTTCTACTGACAGTGAGTTCTGCTAACCTTACCGCTCCAACAGCGCTATGGAAAAATGAACCAGATAGTACGCCTTTTCCTCTACCACTGGCAGAGCCACCTGCTCAGCCCCTTTGTTTCATGGTTTTGCCCTCAGTCACATCTCAGAATTTCCAAACTCTTTATCACAGCCTATAAACCAGAGCATTCGCTGGTAAATGCCCTACATTCAAACATACATTTTTGTGTAACGTATTTTTTGTGTATATGTTACAGCATTCCCTTGAGCCACTTTCAGGTCCTTGTTAAAACAGTGCAGAGCTAGAATAACTAATTTGAAATCAGTGGAGTTGGCCCAGCTTAAATGAGAACAAATTATGCCTATAAAATAATGATTCAGCACCGTTCCATTTGGGTATTGCTAATTAGGGCAATTTGTGTGACTGTGAAACATTTCATTTGCCAGAGAAGAATCAATGCCTTGCTGTAACCATAACTCCTCAATCTCCAAAGATTCAGAGCATTTCACAGACCGCTGGTTCTCAGTTCTTTCTAGCATGCCTACTTCTCCCCAGAATGCTTTCCATGTTGTCCCAGAGCCACCCTTGCAGCTCTCTGGAGCATCAGTGATGCTTGCTCGGCTGGGATGGGATGGGATGGGATGGGATGGGATGGGATGGGATGAAGGCAGCAGTTGGCTGTAGCAGAGCTGGGAGCCCTGAAGGAGATCAGAGGCAGTACAGGGGCATGTCGTTGCCAACAACCCTTCTGTCACCTCCGGAAGGGGATGCTGGCGTGGGGAGCGGTCGTGGGGCTGAATAACTGAGTGGCTGGAGCAGGGTTCCCAGCGGCCACGTACCTTTGCTCTTTCATGGGTGTTTCTGGAGCCTCCTCAGAGGTGCTTCATACTTTACCCTGGCTCTGCCCCAGCCACGTACTCCCACCTGCATTGCCAGCAATGCCTCCAGTGCCTGGCAAGGGACCCTCTTTGCTGTGTACATTCCTCTTCCCCTTCCAGCTTGAGAACTACATCATAGATTACTCCTCAGCCCCTATCCATCTCGCCAGGTTAAGGAGGCTCCTTTTTTCCCCCCTACTTTTTGTTCTCGTACTTTCATTTTGAAAAAAACTGTGTTGACTTACACACATCAGTAGTACTTGTGTCATTTGTCCTAGACAAAAGCAGTCCAGCTGCTTTAGGACTGAGGTTTTCATGGATTAATGCTGGCAATCAGGGCAAAGTAATCCACCCTGAGCTTTGTACACGTATTTCTCCACATTGCACACAAATAGGCCCTCAGCAAGGGTGGGTCATGTGCTTGCGAGTGATAAAAGAAGTACAAGCTTCTTCCAGAGCTGACAGCGTTGTAGCACAGCAGCGTAGCCTGCACCAGTACTAACCAGGAACGGAAACCTGAGCGGCCAAGTTCACTTGGAGGGCCAGCAAGAGACAAGATACTCTGAGACTTAGACTTGACCACATGACCCAAGTTAAAAGAGAAGTTTGTGATAGAGCGGTGACTTGAAGACAGGTTTGTTGTCTATTTCAGTGCTCTCACCACAGGTCCACCCTTCCTTTTTGATGTAACTAGTTTTAGTTTTCTGTCTACGGCTGCTTTTGATGTAACTAAGTAATACACAGCCACTCTGTCTTGCGTGTGGGTCCTGCGTAACTCACACAGTAACCTGTACTAATCTTGACCTGCCAAGTTAGAGTTGGGTTCAAATTCAGTTAGTTGTGTCAGGATTAAGTCACCACAGAAAAAAACCAAAACCAAAACAACAATAACCTATAGGAAACTTTCTCTTTCCTTCCTTCATTTAATTAAGCCTCCTATCCCAGACCCAAACAATATGAGAGATTTTGTCAGCTACCCAACAGCTGGTAATGAACGGCTTCATTGCACGATGAAGCGGACAGAAGATGACCCAGAGGTCGGTGGTCCCTGTTATACTCTGTACCTGGAATACCTTGGGGGACTGGTGCCTATCCTGAAAGGACGTCGTATCAGCAAGTTGCGGCCAGAATTTGTCATCATGGATCCTAAAACAGATGGAAAAGCAGGTAGAATTGCATTGTTGCTCTGTATGAAAAATGATTTATAAATACTTCAGATATTAAATACTCGAGAGTTAAAGAAGATCTACATATACAACGTGGAAGATGGTATCTGATATTTTTTTTCTCATGCAAGAAAAATCTTTAGTGTGACCTAGGCTCAAGCCTCTAAAATGATACCATGCTGTCTTCTGTTTTACAAAAGGGAACTTCTTGTATTTTGAATAGTGAGGAATAGATTGCTAATTAGCAGAAAATATTCTTTAGTCTCAATTTTGAAGTTGATTGAATGCTATTCACCCCTCTGAATCATGTTCACTTGAGTTCAAACCATTGGAAATTTGGAGGTTATACGAGGCAGGGTGAAGAACGGTTAATTTTCTCTGCATAGTTTTATCTCAGACTGCTGCCTATGGATTGGATTTATGCTTCTGATGACTGATAGTTGTAATGGATATCAGTGTTCTGAAGCAGCATTTACATTTTCTGGGGCCTGTCTTGATAGATGAAATCTATGGAAACAGCTTGATTTCCACTGTGATTGATAGCTGCAACTGCTCTGACTCCAGCGATATCGAACTGAGTGATGACTGGGCAGCAAAGAAATCTCCCAAAATCAGTCGAGCTAGCAAATCACCCAAACTCCCCAGGTAATAATTTCTTGGATATTTCGTCTTCTTTTTCCTGAGCTTTTCTTCTTTTCTTTTCTTTTTTATTTTTTTTCTAAACACTGTCTCTTGACACCTCATAAAATTAAAAGCAAACTCCTTTGGGCAGATAGGAGTCTTCTGGAGGATTGGGGTCCTCTGTAGTGTCCAGTTCTGGAGTGATCTCAGAGATTGGTGTGAGGTGGCCGTTGGGGAAGGTTCTTGGGCAAAAGGTAATGGGAAACAATTACTTCTCCCCAAGCAACCTCAAGAAAGGTTTTATGAACTCTCTCACCACTGCCTCTGCCACATGTAAACTCTTGCCACCGTAGGATGTATTTTGTCCTTTGGACAATTGATGGTTTTACCTCCTGTGTGCTTAGGGTCCCTGGTCGAATTAAAGCCCTTATTTCCTCAGGGGTATTTTCAAATTCCTAAGTCCGTGCATAGGTGGCATAGATCCTGGCGTAGGTGGCACTGCTACTGCGGTGACCTTGCAAGGGACCCTCAACAAAAAGATCCTCCTAAACAGTGGGTGACGAGTCTCTGTAACGATATGCGAAATAGGCTTATTATCATCTGGTTGCTTTCCTGCCAGCTCTTCTTTATATTCATGATGTACATGGACAGAACCCTCCACCTGCCCAGAGCCTCGCTGATGTCTGTGATGCTTCTCATGGGCACTGACATCTGTCTGCCAGCTTCATGCTATGGAATTGAGGCTCTGATGCCTTCAAGCTGCAGCTGACACTTTTCCAAAGACCTTATATTCTGAGCTTGTCCTGCTATGAGGCAAAGCAAACGCATCCCTTGATATGTGAACATAATGTGTGAAATACCGAAGTTTTAGTTCAGTAGTACTTGGCAAAAGAACCATGAGTTCCTGAGCCTAAAACTGAAATGGCAGAGGAAAAACAACTCTCCTGCATCCTTGGTTTTCTGAGACCGTACTTTTGAAATGTAACTTTTGTTCACTGTTTTTTCCAGCAGTGAGCTTTTTCAGGTACTTGATCTCTTATTCATGAGCCTCCTTTGTATAGTGGGAGGTGGGAATAACTTTTGGCTTAGAGTAAGAGCACCGATGAAGTTTGTGGAGCCTTGGTTTGCTGTACTGGCGTGGAGATCTGCCAGCTGAGGTGTCATGTTCCCATTTCTTGAGGCTCTGCTCTAAGTCTGCATAGCTGAAATAGCTCAACGCTACACCTTTTTTACAGATTAGTGGGAGGATATATTGTATGTGGCAGAACTGCTGTAAGCTTTGTTAAATGAATCAGAAAGCATCCGGTCAGAGTAACTGCAAGTGTGTCAGGCCTTATATAGCTTTAAATTTGACCCGTAACTCTCCATCCTGTAGACTCTACACTCTTCATTAGTCACTTAAAGGACACCATACTAATTGTCTCCTTACATCATTACATTGAAAGATGTGAATTTTGTGTGGTTTTGTATGCCTGTTGATGATTCTAATTATTGCTTTATACACAGAATCAATATAGAAGCTCGCAAATCTCCAAAGATGTCACGAGCTGCGCAGGAGATATCAAGATCACCAAGGTTACCAATAAGGAAACCTTCTATTGGTTCACCAAGTCTAACCCGAAGGGAGTTTCCTTTAGAAGATATTACTCAGGTATTGTGCACATTGTTCTCAGACCTGAGTCCAAATGCATCTTCTTCCAGAGGAGCAAGTTGTGATATAGATCCAGTGATCACCAATGAAAATTTTTCATTTAATTACAGTAACTAGATGGAACAACTACAGAGTTGCATCTTCCAGTTCAGCGTTAATGTTTGAAAATGTCAATGGAATGTCAGACATTGTTTGATAAATCCTGGCACCACTAACTTCTTGTCAATGTGAATCCACATGAGAGGTTTTATTCTAGGTGGTGGTGTTGGCTGTTTGAAAGTGTCTGTGAAAATGCTCCTTAATCAGTTTCTCAGAGCTGTCCTAATGCCACCGTAGTTCTCTGCTTTGCTAGGAATTGCAGAGATAAGGAAATGTGTGCTTCAGAGGGCCAGATGTTCTCTGTTTCATAATTCATAGAATAGTTGTTTTTTTCTGCTCTGTCTTCTCACTTTTTCCTTTATATTGAAACGTTCTAGATCACTTACATAGCAGCAATAGATAGGAGCAGAAGTCCTTTGAATAAAGCAGGACACCAGAGGCTTAGATCCTGCTCCTGATATCAACAGCGTAACTCTTGGCCTTTGAGAAAATCTCTTGGTCTTTCAGACCCATAATTTGATCACCATTGAAGCAGTGATTTGGGAGGCTGCTTTGGAAGCTCCAGGAAAAATATGTTTGTCATAATGAGTAATTAATTTCTGTCTTATTTACTGTTCTATAAAGTGATCACAGAATCTCAGACTGGTGGAGGTTGGAAGGGCCCTCTGGAGACCATCCAGTCCAATCCCCTGCCAAAGCCGGGTCCCCTACACCACGTTGCACAGGATCGGGGCGGTTTGGAGTATCTCCAGAGAAGGAGACTCCACAACCTCTCTGGGCAGCCTATTCCAGTGCTCTGACACCCTGAACGTGGAGAAGTTCTTCCTCATGTTAAGATGGAAC